TCACTCGTATTTCAACTATTTCATTCAGGAAAAAAAGTGGATTAGTGTTTTCATCTCCTCCTACACAATTGTCAGATGTTTCAGTATAGGCAATGTACATCAGGGGTGTGACTGTACTGTTCAAATTTACAACTTTTCTGGACTCACCAAGGAGTTTTTTTTACTCTGTGCAAGTCATGTAGCACATTTGTTGATATGCATTGACCACCACTCTCTTCCCTTTTTTCTTGCTAACGTTTTCCTGTGTACTTAGAAATAACTATATAAAGTGAAATTATACTTTTAATGTTACAATTATTTGCCTTGACTGGAATTTCAGCCCTTTGTTGTCCATATGTTCTCTCCAGCAAGGGGGTTGGGGACTGGGGTGGGGTGGGGTGGTGGGCGTTGAACAGTGATGCCTGTTAAAGATCAGAAACTCAGGGTAGTCCCCTCTTTCTCATTCCAGGGGATACTAAAACCAATTCCAGAACCCGACTGCTGCTGCGCCTGAGATTTGTTAATCCAGAACAGACCAGGTGTCAAATCTAAGAGTTTCCCCTCTGTGTTGATTACTTTCAGGCTAGCAGAATTCACTGCATTTGAGTTACCTACATTCATCTTCCACTGTTAAAATAATAATCCTAATAATAATCCTTGTATTTCATATGGCACCTTATCACGTCTTCGAGACGTCTCAAAGCGCTTCACAGAATATACTGTGAAGTGAATTGACTGTATATTTAATGTGCGAAACGCAGCAGGAATCACTATTATCTTTTTGAAGGAATTTTTACCCCTGGAGAAACGATCCGCCAATCAACTAACAACTGGGTTCTCACTTATTGCTAGATAAACGGAGGCGTGTGGAGTAAGGAAACTTGCCCAACGTTTCGCCCTGCCGGGAATCAAACCCAGGTATCTTGTTTGTGAGGCGAGTGCTCTAACCACTGAGCTACAGGACTCCACAGCTGCTCCATTTATTACTTTGCTGTAGCTATGGAAGATATGTATTAAAACATGCATAGTTCAGTAACAATCATCACTTTCTCACATAACAACATATGGAAGCACTTCCCCTCCATATGGTGTGCGGCTTTGCAAATGTTCCCTCACTTAACAAATGTGAGCCTTTAGCAAAGCAGCGGTGCCACAAGAGTCACAGGAGCCCTCTCTCAGCACAGGGGTAAGTACTTCCATGTTTCTTAACATGATTATAAACTGTCCCAGGATGAAGAAATTCCCAGCAAAGGGATTGAAAGGAAAAACTATTTAACATTAAAACGGCAAACTTTCTTCAAGTATCATAGTGCTGTAAGTTTCCATAGTAACAGATTATGTCTGTTCAGAGTATACATTTTAGGTAATGCTCTGCTCTGAAGTCAGGAAATGAATGGCATGCCTGATTGTCAAGGTGGGCTGTGGGGATTTGTTAATGGAAAGCAGAATGCCGACTTAGTTACCATAATTGTGCAACATGAAAATGATTCATCCAGTTTCTCCTTCAATGTATATGCTCCTATCTCAATGTGAACTATGTAGATCAGAGCAATTTTTTTATAGACATGCACCTAATAATTACTGAACTTTAGTCCCTGGTGTTACCATTTTTTTTGTGTATACTGGCAGGACTAGTAAGTTGCATTGTATATAAATATATTTTGTCTTACTAATCATGTGCAGATTATGTCATAACCGCCAAGCAATGTCAGAAATGCTCTCTTTACGGAAGAGTTGAAAAAACAATGTTATAAATTGCTAATTGTGTTAGTGGTAGTCAGCTGGAATGCCCTGGTGGAATGTCTCTTCATCAGAGACAAACAACATTTAAAATGCAATGAACCAAATATCTGGATAGACAATTGCTGTATTGAAAATTTGCAAACAGCTTTTAAAAGTAAATTAAGGGGAGGGGGAATGCGCAGTAAACTGCATCAGATGTATACTTGATACTTTTTTGATCAGCCGGGTGTCTGACAATTGCAGAAACCCATCATCATGCTTAAGAGTATCCAAACCAAACTGAGATTCCCATGCATCCCGCCTATACATAGAAATTCCAGAGATGTTTATTGGAATGGAATGCGCACTCTCTCCCTGGAGGGACACATCCTGCTTACCTAATTCCAGAAATTATTAGGTGCAGGTTGGCAACAGCTAAGGCTTGGGGACTTCAGAATATGGGTTGGGGTACTGCTGGAGTCTAACCAGTTAAACCCCATATCTTGCCATTGAGAACACTGCCTGGCCAACTTTCCTGCTTTTTGTTAGGGTTACCTTGACCATTAGAGCTTTGGCTTGCAAGATTAACAGGAGCTGAGTGGGAAGACTCCCTTCCCACATTGAGCAATCTGCCTTCCCAAGTCGTGCCAATCAACCAGACTGGCTGTTCTGTCATCAACAGTGCCTGTAGTCCTGCGGACCCACCTGGCTCAGGAACTGGACTACTGAGACAATCATAAAGGTTGGGTTCGATTCCACCATTCTATTGTCAAACATGTCACCTTGGAGCCAAAGACTCCTGTTACCAATACTACCCAGACCAATTTATTAGCTTATGGTATTTGGTGAATATTTTGCCAAATAAAAGCTACATACCGTGCCTCCACAAACCCAGTCCTTGTCAAACTCCATTGGCTCCCTATCATAAAACAGATCAACTTCAAAATCCTCACTCTTGTAGTTAAATCCCTTTCACGCCCTGGTACTCCCCTATCTCTCCAACCTGCTCTCTCCCTACACTACTACCCACTGAAGACCTTTCTCTTCATCTACGGTCACCTTCCCTCTCCCCCTGGCTCGGCATCGGGCTCCACCACTGTTAAGCTCTCTGAGATGCCGTCTGATATGAAGGGCACTATATAAATGCAAGCTTTTGTTGTTACATTCAAAGAAAAATATTTTACTTTCAGACCTCATTCAAACATCAAATCTAGCACCTTGAGCATACATTGCTACATTTTTAATATAAGCAGTATTTTTTTTCCCAGCATCAAGATGCTAATTTCCTGCTCCAATGAACTCTGAAGGTTAACATTGTAATGTTAACTTAATGATGTTGAGTACAACTTTTTTTGTATATACCAAATATACAGATACGAATGTTCAAGCAGCCTCAGCATATTGCACAATCCAAACAGTTAGCCACTAATATCAACACTATTTAGTCAGACCGGCTGCAGTCTAGGCATGTCTAGAAATATATAAGTGATATATTGCAGATAGATACAGTAAATCAGAATTGTGCTGTAACATCTGTGGTTGACCATTTAAACTGAACTGAAACGTGGATAAATTTAGTAATGTCACATATCTTTCATATTCTTTTGTAACACCATTCTCTGCCAGCATCTCTGTTGGTACTTTGCATCTCATCTTAATACAAGTATAGAGGTAAGATTTCAGATGTATAGAATACCCACAAGTACTAGTTGATCTGTATTATGTTTGGGTTTACTTGTATTAGTGGATTCTGCAAGTATGAGAGCTACTGTGTACATAAACAAACATCAAACACTCTGTAACAACTATATAAAGAATCTTTGTTAATTTCTTCCAAAAACTCATTGTAAGGGGTTTCTCTAAATAAAGAAATACCATAACAAAGTTATTGGACTATTTAGGTCTATGTTATGACAGAAACATTAAGATAATCTAGTTTTCTTAAACGATATATTAAAAAATGTGTTTATTTTGTATCTGTTTCATTCCTGGCCAAGTAAACTATAACTGAGCTTCTGTTGATTATGCTCACAATAAGCCTTAGCTTTGCTGTTGGGAGTTCTACATCATTATTTAACTTATTATGCCATATCTATCAAGCTGAGATGAGAAGTACAAATATGTATGCAAGCAGAAAATAATATAACAAAAATATAAGAAAGATATTATCATTTCATGATTTCTATTTAAAGCAGAACACCTCTTTAAACCTGTCTAACTAATTGAATCAAAAGTAAGGTTTCTGGTTGATCACTCTGCTTGCATCAGCAAATATAATGCACGTCGTCCCTTCTTCCACATCCGCCATGTTGCCTGCCTCTGACCATACCTTATCCTAAATTCTTGTGCATGTGTTTGTCACCTCCCGCCTGGATTACGCAAACAAAATCCTCGCCGATCTCCCCAGCTCCACTATTCAAAAACTCCAGCTCATTCAGAACTCTGCTGCCCGTACACTGACCCGGATCAAACTCTGTTACCACATCTCACCAGTCCTGCCAAGCTCCACTGGCTCCCCATCACCAAACAGATCGACTTCAAGATCCTCACACTCGTGTTCAAATCCCTTCACTCTCTGGCAACTCCCTACCTCTCCAACCTCCTCACTCCCCAATCGACAACCTGGCGCCTCCCTTCGACTGGCACCGGTTCCTGCTTGTCCCTCGCACTCTCCGCCCCACCATCAGAGGTCGCACTTTCAGCCACTACACCCCAAAACTCTGGAATACTCTCCCTCAATCCCTCAGGCTTGCCCCTTCTCCCCTTTTTCAAGTTCAGCCTGAAAGCCTTCCTCTTCGATCATGCTTACGGCCACTTTCCCCCCGCTCCACTCTTGAGACGCTACCCTGCGTGGAGGGCGCTATATAAGTGCAAGTTGTTGTTGTTGCAATGCAACCTGCTTTCATCAACAGTAATTCAATGTTCCCTTGGCCTCCAACCCTCTTGACTCCAGCCAGCAGCTCAGCTGCAAACCCTTGACTGTCTAGCGGCTTTGGACGTCTTCCTGACTTGAAAGACACTATAAAAATACAATTTGTTGTTTGTTGTTGTTGTTTTGGATCATTGTGTTACAAGTAGCAGCTCCAAGTGTTCAATTTTGTTCCTCATAAGAATAATAAAGGTTGAAATGAGCATGATTTTAGCATTTACAGTTGTGAAAGTAACTGATGAAATTGAAGCTCAGAACCTCATTGTGCACAACTAGAAGTCATGATTATAGGATAAGGGACTGCTAGCTTTTCTTCAGAATTTACAGCACAGAAGAAGTCCATTCAGCCCATTGTGTTTTGAATTTACAGAGTGAGGCTCAGCTGGTTTTCACCCATAATTGTTCATGAATAAAATTGCCAAGAGTTATGAATGCAGTTTCTGGGGAATTTCTGAAGAGGAACTGGTCTTGGCTGAGAGAGATGACAGACTTGGCGATGGAGCAAGAACAACACAACAGAGAAGCCTAGGTCCCGGAAACAGACTACAGTTGGATGAAGCCAGTTTAAATGATTTTTTAGAAACTTTTCCAAGAATTTGGGCCAGCTTTTTGTACGGTGAACAGGGATGTTTTTGTAATCAGCACATTATGTGTTGTATTTGGTGTATATGGAGAGAAAAAAAAACACTTCAGAATAGGAGATGTTTGCTGATTCATCCCTTTTTCTGTTTCACTTCTGCTTCCGATTTACTTAGTCATTACAATGATTAAAGTTTTTAATTGAGTCTCAATGTCTTTCTGTCCCACAAAAAAAATAAAATGTTCGCAAATATACAGTCAATTCACTTTACAGTATATTCTATGAAGCGCTTTGAGACATCTAGAAGACATGAAAAGCGCTATATAAATGCAAGGATTATTATTATTATTAACATATTTTCTAAAACATAGCAATGTAACAACAACAATTTTAGATTCATATAGCGCTCTTCACATTGAGAGGACATCTCAAAGTCGTTCACGAAGCTGATTGAGATGGAGGAGATGAGGATGGAGACCAAAATTACCATTGACAAGAAAGGTCTTAAGGCAGACTTTAATGGTGGGGTGGAGGGGGCAAGTCAGAAGGAACTCTGGGATGGAGTTTCAGTGACCAGAGACAGAATGACTGGAAGGTAGCCCACTGATGGTGGGGTGGTTAGGCAGGGGATATGAAGCAGGCTGTGTTCATTAAGTGAACTGATCAGGTGAGATGGTAGAGATGTAAGAGGTTGCAGAAGGGGTGGGGAGCGAGGCCATGGAGGGATTTGAACACGAGGACAAGGATTTTGAATTTGATCCACTAGCAAATGGGGAGTCTATGGCGTTAAGTCAGGATGGAAGTTATAACCTCACCGAGCCTGGTGTGGGAGAGGACATGAGCTGCAGAATTCTGGATGGTTTCCAGCTTGTGTAGGGTACAGCTAGAGAGTCTGGAAAACAGGGCATTCAAATAATCTAGCCTGAATGTAATAAAGATATGCAAGAACAACAATATGTACATATTTTAGTCCATCTGATCAATGCTAAAAATAACAAAGAAATAATAAATAATCCTATACTACTCTAGCTCTCATACCCCTCAATTAAATCCTTCACCAAGGCTTGGCTTTTCCTTTTGATTGTGGTGACACAATCTGCCTCCACCCCTCAGGATGAAATAATTAAATCTAGTAAAGCATTTCTCGATGAACAGACAACTCATAATTTTACCAAAAGTAACCTCAAGAACACCAGATTGACAAGAGGATAAGGCTCAGAGAACATAGCAGAGTCTTCTCGCCATTGTAGGAAGAATCTGTAAGACATATACTATACATTGCTAAAGCAACACAAGTGACCTGGGGCATTGCCTTCCTGTTTTCACATCGTCAATGTTTTAGTGAGAATAACCAACTGCTGCATGATACAGCATTGCAGTGAAACATTTACCAAACTTTCTTTTTCAGATGCTAATTGACCTGCTGTTTGTGCATACCATTTTTTTGCTTTCATATCTGAGTTTCAACACTAATAATAATAATAATAATAATGAGTTTCAACACTGATAGTTTCTCTATTTTATTTCTGCCTCCCCAATCATTTGATTGTGGATTTAATAGTGCCCTGAAGAGTCGGGCTCAGCCACTAGAAAATAGAGGAAAATTCAGCCCATTCCAACCTGATCCAATTGGAAGTCTATTTTCTGGGCCTTTGTTGTAAAGAGATTATTCAATCTTCATTCTGCCCCATAGCTAGGCCTGTCTACTATTCAATCTGCTTTTAATGCCAGACGACCTCTTAAAATAGCCAATGGATTCTGTATTTGTTACCATACCACCAGTTTATGGGGAACCTGTCTCAAAGATTTAAATGGATTATTGGTGGCTTTAAGGTTTTATCAAATATAATAATCCTTACACTGGATATAGCACCTCTAACAATGAAACATCCCAAAGTGCTTCACAAGTAATTGGCGACAAGTGCAGAGACTGTGTTTAGGCAAATGCACACAATAAGGTTCCGTAAACAGCCTTGAAATGAATGATCACTTTATCTGGAAGATTGTTGGCACTGACGCAGGAATCAAGGGGTGCACACTTTTTTTAAAAAAGGGTCATGAGATTTTCACAATCCACCTCAATCTGCAGACAGAACCATAGTTTGACATATCATCTGAAGAACATCACCTCTGATAATGCAGGACTCACCCTGGAGTGCCACCATATACTGGTAACTCATGGGGCTTGAATCCACAACTTTCTAATCCAGAGACATGAAGGTTGTCAACTAAAATAGCCTGGCACCAGCATCCCATGACAAGATTGTACTTTTGCAATCTGTATTGTTACTAATACTGAATATAATTCACAGCCCCACTGTTTGTGGGAGAAACCCATTTCTACAGTGTGAAGTTGAGTAACACCACGTAAACATTTAATCAGATGCAATTTGCATAGGGGTATTAAGGGGTATTAAGGGCAAGGCATTGGAATTAAAATATCTGTCAAGGTCCAATAAGTACAATACAATGCAATTTACATTTGTATCGCATCTTTCATTTCGGGAGGATATCTCCAAGTGCTTGACACTGCTGACTGGCCACCCAAACCAGTGCAACAGGTTAGAGGGGCTGAATTCCCTGCTCCTATTCCTCCTCATCCTGTTTTCCTATGTTCCTATCCCCTCCTGATCAAGTTCAATGGGATTGTAAACAGCATAAAGGAAATCTAAATAATGGCATAACTCCCACCTCCATGCACTTCCAATATTTAAACTGAGGGATTCAGAACAAATCAAAGTAATTTACATATTACTTTCTGAATGTAACTGTATAGTGCTGAGGAAGCCCCAAACATTGCTGGAATAGGTTTGCTATCTATTTTGTCTGTCTGGATCATAGAGCAGCAGATGAAAATCTTTTAGCACTATTAGAAAGACCAACACAATGATTTGTTTACACATTGCTAGAGCACACATACTCCAAGGGAATTTCCTCACTGTGTGTCATGCCAGGAAATCTGCTTGAGTAAATTGGATAGATATGGAAATCTCCTTGGAGCCATGTAATTGTATTTATTTAAAGAAAGAGCTAGGAAGAAAAAAGAGATGATATGTGAGTAAGTATATTGGCCGTTTACAACAACAGCATCTAGCATTTATATATCCCACTTCACATGTGGTAGTAACGTCTTGGAGCACTCAATGGTGTTGTTTGATGCTGAGCCAAGAAGAAAGGGCAGGTGACCATCGGCAGTTGAAGAGGAAAGTCTTCAGGTGCAATTTGAAGATAGACAAAGAGGAGGCAAGGTGGAGGGATTGAAGCAGGGAGTTCAGAGGTGACAGGGAATTGCAGAGGCTAACAACTTTGTAAATGAATGGATATGCACCAATGAGTTTTCAAGGATGACCAGTTCAATTTTGAAGAGCAGCACATATATCAGTAAATATAAAAAGCAAGTGAACCAATCAAGAAAGTAGTGGCAAATGAGAATAATCTCAATGGTTAAATTATTGAGGTAAATAGAGTTATTTTACACCATTTGCTAAAAATAGCAATAGTTTCACTTTTCTTTTAGTAATGAAAATATAAAGGGATTTCCATTATTAAAAGAAAAAGTGAAACTATTGCTATTTTTAGAAAACAGTGCAAAATAACTTTAATTAGTGCAAGGTTAGCTATTTTAGTGATCAGGATGCTAGGCACCACTGTGTAAGCAAAACCACACTATGTGGTAATATGAAAGGGTGTTATTATTCAATGTGGTTATTTGCTGCTATTTAAGAACTAAGAAACATTCCACTAGCTTTAATTTAGCCTCTGGGAAGAAACATAATACTGTATTTGCAAAGCTTACAGAATCTGTTCATCAAAATCATGTCTTTCCACAATATATAACTTATGCTACGTGGCTTTACTTCAAAATCTTCAATATAACCTTTATATTGAGCCAACAATGCAGAATTCCTATAAGTGACATGGACCGTAATGAATGACAGGCTTGTGGGTTTTCTTTTTACAAATGAGTTTCACACATTTAAGACATTTTTATGAAATATCCAATTTATCCACATTTGGGAAAAAAAGCAAAATAGATAACACAAGGTGTCATCTGCTCTTCTATTTATAACATTTAGATTTTATAAAAATACATTTAAAAAAATAAAAGCAGCTATGGCTTTTTTTTAAGCTTTTAAGCCAGGTTCAAATTGTAGAATAACTGGGTACCGAGTGCTGCAAATGTCCTGCTGCACTGCTGCTGAGTTAGTTCGTAGCTAGTGTAATCTACCTTAGTACACAATTTCTAACCAGCCNTTTTTAAATAGTGAGGTATTGGTCAAGACATTATGTCACATAGCATCATAGCACATCTTTCTATTTATGAACAATTGTTTTGAAAATCATTTAAGGCATTTTCCTTTTCTTGCTTATGGCTTGAGGTGGAGGGAGTTCTTAAGGCTGTGAGGCTGGAGAACAAAATTGCCCGACAGGGTGGAACACAGATGTGTTACAGATATGCTGGTAGGGTTTGAACTTGCATCACATGACAGGACGCAAACACAAAAAGTAAGCCATGGATTTTAAGTCATTTGAGGTTTAGAAATACCTTCTTACATTGGAAATTCCAGGCACAGGGCGAAACCTTGGGCAAGTTTCCTTACTCCACACGCCTAATAATAATCCCTCCAAAACAAAAAACAATAATAAATTGGTCATTTTCAATCTACGACTGTTTGTGGGACATTGCTGTGCGCAATTGGCTGCCGCGTTCGCCCACAAATATACAGTCAATTCACTTTACAGTGTGATCTGTGAAGCGCTTTGGGACGTCCTCCCGACGTGAAAAGCGCTATATCAAATGCAAGGATTATTATTATTATTATTTTGTTGGACAAAACATGGATTGTGATAAGGCTTTCTGGCAAGAAAGTCAACTTGATCAAATAATCTCCCTTGTCTGAAAAATAATCCATTTCACCTGGGAATCCTCTCTTAAGATCTGTGGATCATTTGGATTTTTTTTCCCCACAGTTTTTCGAAGGTTCCATCTTCCAGATTAAAACTAAATTGAAGATTTTCCCAAACTCGGCATAATACAATACAAAATTACATTTGTATAGCGCCTTTAATGATGGGAGGACATTCCAAG